CTTATCAACCTTCAGTAGGCCTCAGTTCCCATTAAAAGGGATGTGGTAATTCAGAGTCCACCAGTGGCCCTCGGCAGACAAGCCGGTGTCCACCAACACTACAGCAGATCTTGTGGTAGGGCTGTTACATTCCACCAGCTTTCATTATAGAAATGAGTGACATTAATTTGGCCAGAACAGAGCTTAGCATTGCAGCTAAACTAATGATACTGTTAATGGAACTTCACTAATTTATGTCCCACATGGCTACGTGGTACAAATAAACCATCTGGAGTGTGCTGCTCTTTTGAATTCTCTCTGCAGGTTTTAAGTCCTTAAATCACATCCCCTCACGTCCCGTCCCCCCCCCTCCAATTTAGTTTGTCAGGCAAGTCACAACAGTCCAATTTCACAGGCAACTGGCCCACTACTGTTAAAAACCCTGCCTCTTGTCAAACTCTAAGCAGATATGAAATATCACAGTATTGACATTTTCCTGGACACTACCCTGCTTGTAACAGTCAAAAGTGCAAACAGGAAAAAAGCCAGCTGCACGTGGAGAAGAACCCTGTGATTCCTCTAAAGACTGCTATTTTTCCAACAGAAACACAGCACTTGCCCTTACTCTGCCAAATACCAATCAAACACTCGATCAGACAATGAAAAATATATTCAAGCTAGAAGTTTTCTAAACCTTTTAGATACACTTTCCTTCTTTCCCCCAAATCTTGTAACCCGGGGAGTCACTTCTGAAATAGCTTTGCTATCATATAAGGCATATATAGGTTATAAAAACACAAAGCTTTAATCAGCACTTTTTTAACCTAAATTCACTGATGGGTTTGTCAAATTAACCAGCCCAGAGCTGTGTGAATATATTATTAAACACCATTTTGAGTTTGCATATTACCTGTTTCTTAAGAGTGAATTAGCCCTCTCTTTGGTGTTTTATATACTTACAACGATACTCTGAAGTTTTGTCTTATTAAGAGAAAAATTCCACAGAATGAGAAAAACTTCTTTGGTAACTTAGGGATCTTATAACTTGTAAATTAGCAATGAAAGCACTGAGATAAGTCTTTGGCAATATATTTGAAGTCTTAATGAAAGGGTCAGATTACAAAAAGTCATAGAGGGAGTACTATATGAGGAAGCTTTAAAGTTAGTTGCAATGTATTAAAAAACAACATTCAAATAAATTATTTTGCACTGCAGTATGCCAAGTTTTTGGAGATGGAATTAAAATTGGGCTTTCATTTTAGAGCAAGTAAAGCATAATATTAGACTATAATACTGCATATACTAGTGAGATCCAAATGCCCACGGTGTTGCAAGAGAACATTTTCCCTCAGGCATTTGAAATTTAATGCTTCTTTAATATTCTCTGTTGGATATTGTTAGAATGGAATTTCAAATATTTCCTGCAATTTGAGTTAAAGATTACTGCATAATGCTGAGCAGCAAAAAATTTTTGAAGCGCACATCTAAAGCTGGCATAGTAGCTTAATGTCCTGTTGTTTCTTGCTTTAGCAAAATTAATTTCTTCAGTCTTCAACCATGAATTCACACACCACCTGGAGATACAAACCCGTAATTTAACTGTGGTGTATTTCTAGCTCCTTGCCTAATACACCGAGGCCAGACACTATATGACAGGCAAATATAAAAGGCCATTTCAGAGTAATACTTTCTATTCTCCTAAATCAGAGAGTGAGCAACTTGAAAAACTACACTTGGCTCATAATTGTCAATAAATGGGATTACTGATCATGAAGTAAATGCACACGACATATTAAAAGTATATATTCTACAATATAGTCAAGGGTAACACCTTTCCAGTCGGACTCAAAATATTCAAAAGGCTTTTATCCAATTAAGATCCAACTTTTGCACCACACATGTTAGTGCTTTACCATGGTTACTCAATACAGGTAAGGGTAGATGACAAATGAAACAATAAGGCATCATTTATACTGGGCACATGCAGACTTGCTCCTGAGCTCTCCCTTACAGGAAGCCTGCCAGTCCCCCTCAGAAAGGCTTGGAATGCTGCTCCAGACAGTAGGACTACTATGAGTTCAAATTAAGTCATTGCTCAACACCATCCCAGCCTGACAAGACAACTCTAAATGACTTCACGATGTGACCAAAAGTTTTAAACATTGGTCCTCAGTCTCATGCTCTAAGAAAACCATGCTTGTGTGTTCTAGTACAACCCTTGTCAACACTCTGAACTGAAAAAAACAACAAAAAATATATGTCTGCATGTTTTTGAGCTACAGGAAACTCCAAATTATGTAGCACCGGTACAACCAATAGAGTCCACACAGCTGGAATTATGTGCCTACACTTTTCTTCAGAGGTGGGGACAGTTTAGCCTGAATGGGCACAAGCATGAGCAAAAATTGAGCACTTGTGTTTAAGTGAGCAGAATTAATAAATACAATTTTTTCTTTCTTTAATCAAATATCAGTAAAGACACTGAGTATGGTCACTACTATAAGCACATATGGTACTAAAGCCATCCACAGGCTGTGCTGCTGCACAAAAATCAGTTTGGATAAGGTTTCCAAAAGCAGGCCAGATACCAAAATGAATTTGTGAAGCAGAAGAAAAACCTCCATATAGGACAAAAAGCGTTTGGGTGGCTCTAATGCTTATTAGTGATAAATTCATGTTTTTAAAGTTATGTTTCAAATACGAATAATTTCATTAAGATAAAAATTTATCAGTATTTTCGTTCTGCAAAGAATTATGTTTTATACAATTAACATCAAAAAATCGACATAGTAAGACATCACTCTCCTTACCAGGTATTTCTAAGGATATTTTCTTTGAAACACTATTCAATACTTGGGGGAAAAAAAAGGGAGAAAAATTTAGTCTGTGTAATGGCATCTATCAACACCTTAGCTCTGTGAAAATACAGAAACAAATTCAAATGGATCTTGTAAAAACAACCCGAAATATTTTAATGAAACTATGTGACCACAATTCATAGAAATAAACCTAATGAGAAAAACTCTTTTCATTATGCAAGAGAATTGGCTTGGAACAACACTCATCAGTCATTCTGACATGGAAAGGATGGATAAAGGAAGCAGATGGATTCACCCCTCAGCACTGAGTCTAGAAAATGGAAAGTCATCACGATCACTGATAACTTCTTGTATCAAATTTATTACTTGATTATCAGATTATAATGAACAAGTGCAAGAGGAAGTCATATTAGAGAAAAAGAGAACATGCATTTTCAGCAGGAGCTGGTTTTCCACTTGACTGAATGCTTTAAAAAACTCCCAAGGACATCAACTTAATTTAGTGGGGGGAGGGGTGGTGATGTCGTTTTGTTTGTTTGTTTGTTTTTTAATTGTTGCAATTAATTAAGAGTACAAGGTTTGACTTGGTAGAACTTGACTTGTTACAAAGGTCATTTCTTGTTTAGAATCCCAACCTGCCTCTTCTCCTCCCCATGCTGGCATTAGTGAGTAGAAAACCCACACGTGGCTGTCACAAAGTCTCTGTTCAACCAAGACAGAGATTTGTGTTAAGGTAAAAGAAAGAATCCAGTAAGGCTACTTCTCAGGCACCAGGAACACAACTCTTCTATTCTCTTTGTAGCACTTCAGAGACCAATTCTGCAGAATTTACAGCAAATACAGCAAAGTCTTTGTGCCCTGTGTGTATGAGCATTTTGGCTGTTTGTCTTGCGGGCTGGTTTTGTTTGGCTTTGTTTTTAAACAGGAACTCTCTATACCCTGGGCCCTTGTAACAACTGGTGAGAAGAAAATCTTCTAGAAATGGTGCACGGGTGGTAGATGATGACAGATCTTCCAGGGTCTCTCAGCTTTGGGGGTGAACAAGGGGGGGGGCCATTACCAAACCTCTGGTTAGTGATGGAGCCCTGAACACCTGAGCTGCACTGCAGGAACCACAGACCACCCACCTCAGAGCTGAGGATGCACAGACAGCAAAGGAGGCCTGAATTGCTACAGTGTTCTCTGTCAAACCTACAAATTGCTGTTTGTACAACTCAGAAAAAGAAAGAAATAAAAAAGCACCTTCTGTTCACAATTTTTATTAAGATTTCACTCATGAATAGTTCATAAAGATTACTAATACATGTTCACAGAATAACAGAATATGCTGAGTTGGAAGGGAACACATTACAAGTAAGCTACACATCATTTGTGTCTTTACAGGCACGAGAGTACAGAACGTGTTATTGCATCCTATCTACCTCTCAAAAACATACTGAAGGTTGTATACGTCAATTAATAATTAATTACTCACCTTTGATCAAAAAAACGAATAAACTTTTAATATGTAAAAAATAAGCCATAGGATAAAATCAAAACAGTTCCACAGAAGGCAAAATTTCTCCTTTAGAAAGTTTTCTGAATCACAGCGAAAAGAAAAATCAGGATTATAAGCAGAACTTATAGATACATCAGTTTCCTCATAACATTTAATGTCCATGCAGCATCACATGACTGAAGTTTAGAAATTAACAGCAAAAAATAATGTTTTGAACATTAGCACTAGGAATAAAAAATAAAATAAATCCTGTATTGATTTTTTAAACTACAATTTTAATTCTTCTTGCTTATATCTGCACCTTTATCTTTTTTTAACTCTATTATAGACTTTTCACATACTTTACAAAACAGCTCTTGATCCTCTTAATTCTATTTCAGGTTTTTGTTTTTTTTTTTGCAATGCTTTCTTTTATTTCTGAAACATCTCTGATTATTACTTCCTTGGACAATAATCCAGAAGAGACTTCCAAAACTGTTTCAATTCTAGTACTTCTAGGATTAAACCCGGTCATTATATACTAAACTTTTCTTACAGAGTCCTAAAAATTTTGAATGTTAATCATATTACACAGACTTAGCTACAAGAGACATCATTTTGTAATAACAATTGCAAGTGAATGCATAAAAGAAAAACTGTGTCATACACAGAGAGGATAAAAAGAAAACTTCAAAAATTATTGAAAATTAAGTGTAAAAACTTACCTAAAATATTCATCAATTTCTATAGATGGCAATGAAGTAAAAGAAAATCCCATCCAAAATACAGCTAAAGAACACAGCCAGCTGTTAACAGAGAATAATTCATTTTAAAATATATATAAAAAAATTAAGAGAGAATTCTGGTAGACTACCTTTCAAAACCACTTGTTGCCTTGAAAAATCATACTTAATCCCCAGAAAATGGAGATTAAAACATCTTATTACTTCAGTATGTTGTTTAATTACCAATTTTTACGTATTTCAATATCTTTTGACTGCAAAAATTTTAAGATGTATTTGAAGAATCATCCAAGAGCCCAATTCACATTACTTCATTTGCACGTAATGTTTCCATTTATGCAGCTTTTTGGCTTAAAGTGCTACACAAGAGACTCACACTAATAAAGCATGGGGAAGCATTAAAGAATATTTTTAAAAATTACACTTAAATTTTGCTTCGAAAATATTACAATTTAACAAGTAGAAACAAAATGTAAGCCACTTAAGAAGGAAATACTAGAACTGTTAAGTTTTGCTAAGTTTAAAAAACACACCACATTCACAAAACCCTAAATTTTACAATATCTTTAGTTAAATCAGCACAGATGACGATTCAGTCTCTCTTGGACTAATTATATTGGAAACAGATTGAAAATAAACCGACAAACAAAAGAGTTTACACATAGCTTTGCATCACATTCATATCACTTTCAACTCAACATAACAACAAGATTTGCTGTTATCTCCAACTGCAAATAATTCCAGGAGCACAAGTTTTGAAAAAAAAAAAAAAAAAAGACTAAGGATGAAAAGAAAGTCTTACCTATAGAAGAAAGTTTGAAAGTTTTAAGTTAAGGTCTTAACTGAAATCCACTAAATCAATACAATCTGCTATGCCAACACAGACAAATCAATTTACAGCGTGCTAACAGTGATTTAGCTGAAAATTGATAAGGAATCAATTCAAACTGAACTAATTATGTTCGGTAGAAATTACTTTATGTGGGTCCACATCAGGTTTTGTGTACATTTAAATCTTAAATAGTGTTAATTAAGTCCATACAATGTCCTGGTGCAGAAGAGGTTACAGTCACCAGGGTAAAGCATCTCAGGACACTTTGGAAAACTCTGACTAAAACAAGCTCCCTCCTACTTACCAAGCATCTCTACACTTCCCAGCAAGCCAGACCTCAGCTTTGCTTGCAGCTATTTGGCTCTCAAATTCATCCCCAGAAGGGAACTCGGGTACAATCTTCATTCATATTAAAAATGTACAGTTATTAACTGACATAAATCAGTACAGGTTGACATTTAAAATAAACTAAGTACGATTGTACCTTTTCCACTCTGACACTGCAGTTTTCTGTACTGCAGGAGCTGTCAGGGGTTCAGCTAAGGACTTGTTCAAGACATAGGACGTTCTGAATTGAGGCATGAGCACGACTCACTAAAAGGAGAATATTTTGCATGACAAGCTTAAGTATTGACGTTTTACACCCACTGCCCTAAAGGAGTGACTTCTTATTTCTGTCACAGGACTGAAGAAGGAATTGCATAAGCGTACAGGCTGTTTAGACTGTTTTAAAAACATAATACTATCTACTCTAAGGATTAGAGTGAGATTTAAAACTAATCCTGTGGAAAAATATTGGTACAAGTGAGACTTCACTAAAGATTTCACTGAATTACAGATTTTTTGCCATAAGGAGTCCTGACAAGATCTGAGGAAAAATAAAAATCAACTAATGCCCAAGACCCTCTTTTAGCATAGCATAACATAGCATAGTATAACCAGCACAGTTCATGAAACTGTTATTTTCCTGATGTATTTACACCAGTATCAGTCTCACTTTTAAGCCAGACCAAAAGGAATTGACTTCACCCAACACTCCAAACTACAAGCAGACGGGAAGCTTTATTTTTGTGTAAGAGCTCGCTAGTTCTAGCAGCGGCATAGCACAGGTAAGCTCTCAGCTTTCCCTAAAAATAACAAACGGTTAAACAGAAGCCGAGGGGGGGTTCGTGAAGTGTGAAGCGCAGCTCTGCACCATCTCCCGCAGGGCCGAAGGGAATGTGAGTGAGGAGGCGAGGGAAGACACCCGGACTCACAGGAGAAAGGGCTGGGGATGCAGGGACGCGACGGCAACTCCCCGGAGCAGGCCGGGCAGGAGAGCGCGGCGCGGGCAACGCGAGGGGGCCGTGAGGGGACCCCTCTGCCCGCCCTCACCAGGGCCCCCGGGGACGCCAGCCCTCGGAAAGGGCAGGGCCAGGTCGCGCACTCGCACCCACCGAGCGCTCCGAGGGGTCGGGTCGGGCCGGGCCGGGCCGGGCCGGGCCGGGGCGCGGGGCGGCTCCGCCGGTGCTGGAGCCTGTCCCGGAGCCTGTCCCGGCTCCCCGTCCCGCCCTCCCGCCCGTTCCCACAGCAACACCCGCACGCCGCGCCCTGCGCATGCGCCGCCAGCGCTTTCCCAACTGAGAGCGCGTGCGCAGCCCGGGGCGCCCGCGCTGCCGCATACCCCGCCCCCCCGGTCCCCACGCGCCGCTCTGCGCTTCAATGAATGGGGCGACGCGGGGGGCGGTAACGGCCAATGGAGCCCGGGGGCGCGGCGCCCCGGCCCCGACGCACGCCGGGAATTGTAGTTCTTTGAGATCACCAGGTTCTGCACGCAGACGGTGGCCGAGACTTCAGCCCCCAGGCGGCCGTGCGCAGCGGCGCGCCCCGCCCACTCCGCGGCTTCTCGGCGCAGCGCCGCCGCGGCCGCAGTCGCGCCGCAGAGGTGACCCCGAGCAGCCGCTCCCGCTCTCCAGCCAACATGGTCGGTACCGCGCACTGGGCCCGCCGCGGCGGCGCGGGGGGGTCCGGCGGGCGGACGTTGCCGCGAGAAGGCGTCGCGCTGCTCGCGGGGTGTGAGGGACGGGGGGACCTGGAGGTGGTTGGTGGTGGCGGCACCCCGAGGAGCCCCGCGGAGGCCGCGCAGGGGTGACCTTCCAGCGGGGGACGTGGGGTCGGTGCCGGCCTGGCGGCGTCTGTGCCAGCCTGGCGCGAGGAGAAGGGCGGGATGTGGGAGCGGAGCGAATCCCCCGGCCCGCTGCGGCCCCTCCCGGCGGGGCACGGCACAGTTGGGCCCCGCGGGTGGCGACGTTGGCTTCGAGAGATCGGGAAAGCCTTCGCCTCAGTCCGTGAGAGCTTAAAGGTTCTGGAGTGGTTCTGTCCTAGCTCAAGGGGAAGCGCCTGTGAAATGTCTTTATCGCTTAATGCCTGCGTGCTGTCAGAAATCCCGCCATCTGTGCAGATTGTCGTTGTTCTGCCCTGAGGTTATTACAGGTGTACTGCAGTGCTTTGCTTTTCTGCAGTACATATACTTACATGTATGCACGCACAAACCTGCATAGAGACCTTCCTTTCCTTTGTAACCATGAAAACATCTCCCGGTTTTTCTAGACTCTATACCCTGTTATTCAAACCTGTACTTTCAATGTTTTGCTGTGGAAAGGATGCTTGCATCCTCTGGGACATGGCTTATTTCAGCTATACCCTAAAAAGTCTGTAAACTTTATTTATCCTACTTCTCTGCTCTTTCTGTTTAAAATGTGGATTCAGAGGAGTGACCACAAGACAACAGGTTTTAGTTTGTACCTGATCTTTCAAATCATTGCCTGACATGAATGTGCTGGTCTCAAAGAGAACTGCTGGTTGTAATTTACTTTGGTGCCCAGACTTTTCAGAATGTCACTGTTTTTATCTTGCCTTTGCTGTTCTAGCTTTGTATGTGGTGGTGGGCAGAGGCTTTAAATTCCAGAAATAAAGTTATCTGTCTATTGATGCAACTGCCATTAGATAAATGAAGTGAAAAAAGTCTTTCAGGGCACCTGTGTCAAGGTCACTTCTTAAGGAAAGAATGCCTTTGGAATTTGGTCTCTGAACCGCTCTGCTGGTGGCTTTCCTCAAGTGCACAGCTGATACTTTCTACTCTATTTCCAAACACGTTTATTGTCACCGTTATCTCTGCTTTAAAGAAGGGAGAGCAAAGGGAAAGTTTCTTAGGCAGACTCTAGACTTTTGAGGAGATTAAGTTTATCTTGATGCTTAAATCACCCTTGTGAAGCAAGGTGGGATAGCTTACCTGGCTTTACTATTCAAGAATAATGTTAAGTTGATGATATTTTATAGGCAGCTAAGTTTATCAGCAGTAATGTTTATGGAGGTCTTTCATAACTGTAATTTGCAATGCAGAGCAGACAGGATGTTCTTGCCGCAGCATTTGATAGGTTATGAGTTATCATTTCCTTAACTTTATAACCTTCCGAATCAGTTTTAGCACTAGTGCTATTTGCCTGTATAGCACTAATATTTTAGGTCTGCTGTTATCACCTGTAAATCAGAGACATAACTGAGGCACTGAGTTCTTCAGCCAAAGTGTGTGGGGAGGGTGATAAGCCCAGAACCGCCTCATTTGGTGCTGGAAGCTTCACTTTCATCTGTAGTATTTGGGAAGGGGGAGAAATCCTACATGATTGCTGAACTAGACAAAGAAGGGTACCCAACAGTGTTCAGTTGTTGGTGTTTTTTTTTCCTCATCCTTTTTATCACTATCTTTGCTACTCTTTTAACTGTACATCGACTGAATGTGGAGTGGGGAAGGCTTTGAAACAAAATAGTTCAGTTAGTTGTTGTTTAATTTGTCCTCTAGCTCTTCTATACCTGAGGGTGAGTAAAGGTCACCCCTGTAGCTACCACATGAAAGTAGTCTTGCAGGAGCCAAGTCACGGGTTGAAGTGCCTGGACATGAGTTTTTGGAACCTACAACTTCCATCGGGGAGCTACTCATTTCTCTAAACATCCAACCTCCAAAAGTAGCCTCAGATAGTCAGTAAGACCAATTTTTATATGTGATGTAACTTTTTCTGGGTTTTTTTTGGTGAGAGTTACCACATTTTGTAAGAACTGCAGCATTTTTGGCTTGTTAATCTAGCTTCTATTTGATTTGAGACAGCATGGAAGTTTCTTTGATACTGATTCCCCACAATTGGTGCAGGAGTGAAGGGGCCTGGGGAATGCATTGAATCCAATGGACTGAAGGTTGGGAGAGGAAAACAAGTAGGCAGCAGTCTTCACTTTATTTTAGCTTGTGTTTTTTCCTTCTCCAGGCCCACATGGTGGGGGGAGAACAGGAAGGATGGTTGTAAGCAAACATAATTATGGTGAGAAGGTGGAGCTGAGTCATGACCAAAGTTTTTTTGGTTTTTTGGCTTTTTTTTCTCAAAAAAAAAGGCTGAATGCTAAGTTTGTCTCAGTAAAAGAATAATAAATGATCCTATCTCTTATCTTCTTATTTTCTGCTCCTTCCTTCTCCTGTTGTTATGCTAAATACTCACCGTAATGCTAGTGGATAGATTGGCATTTTTTATGTTTAAATCAAATTAGCATATAAATTGCATATGATGGAAAAAAATTCTCCTTTTACTAACTAGTACGGTTAGGTGCCTTAAAAGAATATTCATTGTTGCTTTAATATAAATAAAATTTAGGATCTCCTTAGAATCATGCTGTAAAGTTGCCTTTAAAATTTGATACACATCTTGATCCCTGCTGTCTGTCACCATTCAGATGTTATGGTACATTTCCTTCCTCAGGAATACAATACCAAAACTAGTTTTGAGATTTAAACCAGCAAGAATTGTTTGTCTGCCCTCCTTCCCCCTCTTTTTGGAGTTTCCACGAGGGATGAGGCTCATAATGGGACAGTTTCAGAAGAAAATAACGCAATTCAACGCTGTGTAACTGGTAATCATGTAACCAGATATTTGAAGAAACACTCCCATAATGAAGGCAAAATCAGGCCAGGTCTAATTCTGCAACTTCCGGAATTTAACTTCATCACTTACACTCTCATTTTATCTGGTATATGGTCAGATGGGGTAGGTGGCCTCATTTTTGTAATTATCTAAGGATAGCTTAATGCAGCTGTGCTTGGCTGGTCACTTCTGCAGAGAGGATACACTCAAAGCCCCAAATGGTTTTCCTATAAATATCAGTGACAGGAACATTGGTTGGAAAGGATCTCTAGAGGTCACGCGGTCTGCCCTCTTTCACTCCAAGTCTGGAGGTTGTCCAGTCCAGCCTGACAGCAAGGCTGTTGCCACTGATAAGTCATATCATAGGTGTGTTTTGATCTGAATCTTGAAAACCACCGAGGGTGAAGGTTGCACAGACTGTCTGGGTAACCTTTTGTAGCCACTGCACCCTGTTCTGCCATCTGCCACTACGGAGGGGTGCTGGGAAGCATTAATTTTGTAACGCTCTGGGAAGGTGTGGTAGGCTGCTATTTACATCACCCCCCATCCTCTGCCTCTCCAGGCTATGTCCAGCACCCTCAACCTCACTTTCCAGGGTGCCAAGACTGGACTCAGTATTCCAGCTGCAGTAGCACCAGCACTGAGTGGAATGCCTGTCTTTGCTCCACAAGCTACACTTCTCGGAATGTAGCCCAGGACGCAATTAAGTCACTTCCTTCACGTTCAGTTGTGCCTGGTGTTTTGCCTGTATCTCAAATGATCATCTTTTAATTATTTGACAAAGTGGGTTTGACACTCCAGCAGCCCGGTCAGAGTCTGCTTGTTCCTGTCCTTGCACAATCTGTCCCAGCCCTAATTGCCTCTAGAGAAATAGGGAAATACGAAAAACAGGCATACAAAGTACTGAGTTATGAATGTCCTTTAGCATGTGTTCCATTTGCAGAGAATTACAGAATGGTTGCATCTGAAGGGACTTGTAAAGGTCATCTGGTCCACCCCCCCTCTTACAATGAACAGGGACATCTTCAATTAGACCAGGTTGCTTAGAGCTCCAACTTGACCTTGACTGTTTCCAGCAATGGGGCATCTACAGCCTCTCTGGGCAATCTGTGCCAGCGTTTGGCACCCGTATTGTAAAATATATTTTCTTCTCTAATTCTACCCTCTTTTAATTTAAAACTATTGTCCCTTGTCACTTCATAACAGGTCCTTCTAAAAAGTTTGTCCTAGTCTTTCCTAAAGTCCCCTTTGAGTATTGAGAAGCCACAATAAGGCCTTCCTGGAACCTTATCTTCTCCAGGCTGAACAACCCAAAGTCTCCCAGCCTTCAATTTTCAATACTGAATAACCTTTGGATTTCCCCAGATCTAAGTTCTGCTTAACAAAATGGGGTGTTTACTATAAAGCATGCATTTTTTCCCCCTTTTTTTTTTTGCAATAGAGCAACATTTTGGCAGTTTTCTCAGTGTTTTGGAGCTTAGAGTCAGTTTGACAATAAACAGTTGTATTATGGCTAATAGCG